AGAACATTCTAGACATTAGCCCTTGTTCTATTTACTTCAATGATCATTTTAGAGCATAACATTCATGTTGTGGATTTGTAACTAGAGATTCCATGATCATCTTCATTATCTTCTGCGACTTTGCAAGCTTCTTGCAGTATATGAAATTAAGCACATTGTGAATCAATGATTTCATTGTTTTTCTTGAAATCATCAACAACATGATTGAAGAATCATTTTGATAACAGTTGTTCTTGGTGTTGTTATAGTGGTTGACAGCTTTGGTTGTGTTCCAATAATGGCAGCTTTCATTTGAACATTGAACACCAACACTTTTTTTAAGCATGTGATCCTTTTCTTATATAGCCTTGAAAAATAGAGATGTCATCTATTTGAAAAAGACTCGTTACAAATAGTACTGCTACGTGTTTTTCTTTTCCATATTTCAAGCTAGTGGAGAGATAATAGAATAAGACTTTTCGTATTGTGTACTATTGTACCATGTTAATGTTATCTTCTTTCCTTCTGCACTTCAGAGGCTTCTGCGAGCGTGTATTTAGAAGCGGAAACATAACATAAGGTCATCATAACTTCAAGTCTTCTGAATCTTCAAAACTGCGTCATTGGAGTCTTCACCAATTGGTCATCAGAACCTTTTCTTAGAACCATGGGTATTTATAACTTAAAGTCTTTAGAGTCTTTATAACTTCTATATTCAGAGTCTTTAGCACTTGATCTTTAGAACCATTTTTCTTTTAGAACCATTGGTCTTTAGAAACTTAAGTCTTTAGCATCTGGAATTAAGTAGAAACTTCTGTCTTCAGATCTTTTGACTTTTTCTTTAGAAACCTTTGTCTTCAGAAACATGAGTCTTTAGCATCTAGACTTAAGTAGAAACTTTTGTCTTCAGATCTTCTGACTTGTTTCTTTAGAACATGTTGTCTTTAGAAGCATGATTCTTCAGCATCAAGATGTAAGTAGAAAATTTTGTCTTCAGGTCTTCTAACTTGATTCTTTAGACAAACATCAGAGCCTACACTTTAGAGTCTTCTGGAGTGTCTTACTACTGTTCATCAGAACTTGTGTATCACAAAAGTGGAACTAATTCTCTTCTAATGTCTTGGCCACGCCATTCATCAGAAGCAGAACCTGTTTGTTAAATACTCAAAACTAACAAACATTAGAGTATCAAAATTGTTCATACAAACATACTCATTTGTTATCATCAAAACTCAGAGATAATATTGTAGAATCAAATCTCCTTCTAACACTACATCCAAGGTAAGGGTGGGTAATTTGCATTATTATGGGATTGTATGATGTATGTAATGGGTAGTAATCATGATTAAGGATTTTGTTCTTCAATTTCTAGATTTTGACATGTAAGGGTTTGAATGAGAAATCATGAAATTGATGTTTGAATCATGTTTTGATGTTGGTAATTGATGCTATATGTTAGATATATGTTATAATACATATAAATGATGAAAAATGGCTGATTGGGGTGGGTTTTAATGACCCGGTTCATAGGAGGCAGAATTTGTCTTCGCATAATTTTTATGTGTTCAGCAGAGCTCGCTTAGCGCGATAGAGGCCGCTTAGCGAACCCTGGGACTGAAAGTTTTATATTTTGTTTGATTGATTGGGGGTTCTATATATTTATGATTTATAAAGTATTTCCATGAATTTTAATAATTTATTTGATGTGTATTGGATGGATTTTGGATGACTTTTGACGAATACATAACACTTGATTTTGTGTATATTAATGTTATGAATTGATTATTAATGCGAATAACATGGTTTGGAACTGTTTACTACGTGTAATTATGATGTGTTGAAGTGATGAACGCTATGATAATGCATTGTATGTAACTGATAACATGAGATGTGTATGTTTGTGCAATGGTGATTATAATTCAAATGTGATGAATTAGGTGATGTATGCTTGTATGATTAAGATTGAGGAATGGTCTTAATTGCATATGATTGTTGAGATTACATGAATCATTTGTTGTCAAGAGGAAATGTTTGCTAGTTTCGTTGAGACTAGTGACTTGTCCCAAAGCTGAGTGATGGGTTTGCAAGCTTGAGGGATGGGCTTTTTGGTGGTTATTTATCTGACGGATGGACCCGACAGGACCGGTAAGAATAATAATTGGTACCACATGCATATTGCATTGAGTTATATTTGAGTCACGTATGAAATGTTGAATTGGTGTGCAATATGTGATATTGGTGTGAATGTTACATTTGTGGTATTTTTGATTAATCATCTTTGAATCTTGAATCGTTGAGCAATGTTGTATATTGTTATACCCCAAAATTTTCCCTCCCATATTCTTCAAAGTTTTGACAAGCATCATCTAAATTTGCTCAAGTCTACTCAAGGGTTGCACAGTCAAACCATCCTCCTAAGCCAGTCAAAATTAGGGTTTTGGTTCTTGCAAGGAATTTGAGGTTTTCAAGGGCTCAATCAAGTCCCATATGCTCATATACATTGTCAAGCACCTACATGTCAAGTTTCAAGGCTCACAGCATCAAGTTGCACAGTCAAAAGCCTCATTTGCTTCACAATCAACTGTAGGGGCAAAATGGTCATTTGGCAGTCAAAAGTCAAAATTTTTGGTCAACATCTTATTTTGAAGCCACAATCATCATTTGGTCAAATCTTGACCATGATTTCACAAGAATGGCTCAAAAATCATCAAGATGCAAAAGTTTCTATTTTTGGACAGTTGAAAAGTCAACTGTAACTTGACCAAGGCATAACTTTTTCATGGTCATCAGAAAAATCCCATACAATGCTGATTTTGAAGGGGAGGACATTTCCTACAATTCATATTCACATTCCAAGTCCAAGAAATGCTCTCACAAAAAGTTATCAATTTCAACATTATAGGTCATTTTCAAAAGTCAACAAAAAGGCATTTTAAGTCAAAGACCATAACTTGAGATTGTTAAATCAAAATGACATGGGACCAAAGGCATTGGTTAGAGGACTTCAAGACCTTTCCAAAATGTCCAAGAACATGTTCATATGATCAAAATTGAGCAAGATATGCATTGGAGAATTTGGGAAATTTTCATGAAATGACAAAAGTCAACTATCCTTAAAACTTCAATTTTTGACAAAAGGGCCCACTTTTTCCACTTGATTTAGCCTTGTCATGCCACCCACGTGTCCCATGATCAATTTCAAGATTAAACATTAATTTTTCTATTTTTATTTAATTTTATTTGATTTAATTCATTTTAAATCCATAAAATTCAAATAAAATCAAAAAAATTAATTCAATGACATCTTTTGATTTGAATGGCTTTCATGTGTCATAATACACCTACCAAATTCGTGCCAAGCTGAATTAAGCATGAAAATTCAAATTTGAACAAAATTGGAAAATGCTTTAATGGTGGTTATGAAGAAATCTCAAAACATCATTGCACAAGGTTAAGGCTCTTAATATTGACTGATTCTCATTCAAACATACATGTACAAGCCTTGCAGACCTTAAGCACGACCTAGAGCTCATTGAAACGGCATAACCAAAATCCAAAAAATCAAGCAAAAGTTGAAATTTGTTTTCTTACTTCCAGGCCATTTCCAAACTTTTAATTGATTCTAATACATTGCCTAAGTCCCCAGGAACCTTTGGAGATCAAAACCACACGTCAACACCCAAGAAAACGCCCCACACGAACTCACGGTTTGCATATTTGTCTCACAATCATAATTCATTATACATGCATCTGTAGCGGTGAAAATCAGAGATCAAGCTATTAATTAACTTGACTCGCAAAAAGCAAGAGTCGCCACCGCGCTTTATTATTTCCAAGGGAAAAGGGAAAAGTGCGAAATAAAACCCTAAAATATGCAATGTAAAATAATACTTGAAAGTAATGAAAGTACAATGCATTTTTTGAAAGAGATTGAGAGTTCGGGGGTTGGTTATACAAAGGGAAGGTACTAGCACCCAATGCATCTGCGGTACTCCGCAGGAACCTTTTGAAATATCTGTTTTTGGCTTAAAATTATTTGTTTGATTAAAATGGTTTGTTTGGCTAAAATGGGTATGAACGAGATTTTCAAGATACGACGACCTAGTGTCGAAGTTTTGACTTAAAAGGTAGGTTTGAAAATGGAGTCTTTTGGAAAATTATCTTGAGTTTTGCAAAATAGTAAACAAGCAAAAAAATGAATGAAGGGGTTCGCGCAATCGTATGAGATATGTTCGATGACATGAAGTCAACAAATTTAATTCTTTCCCTTGGAGTAAAGAAAACAAATAGTTGAGTAAGCTACAGAAATTAAAACGAGTTAAACCAAAAAAATGTATCACAAAATTAACTAACATGTGAAAGAAAAGTCACGAAGAAATAAATTTGAATAACAAACGAAACAATGACAATATAAACAATGAGAAACTAAATAGAGGGATAAAGAAAAATCATGAAATAAAGATATCTAACTAAAACGAAAATTATCTAAACTAAATTGAAATTCTAATATTACTAAATTAATTCTAAATTAAGTTAAAATTCTAAAGATGCTAAATGAAATCTAAACTAAATTAAAACTCTAAAGTTATTCAGTTAAATTTAAGCTAAATTAAAATTATAAAATTACTAAGTTAAATCTAAACTAAATTAAAATTCTAAAGTTTTACTAACTAAATTAAAAATCCAAAATTACTAGAATAATTCTAAGTTTAAACTAATTACTAAAACCATCTAATTAAAAGACTACATGATTATTTAATTAATTCTAAAAAAATTAAACTAAGAAAAATTAATAAAATAAAAATTAAATTAATCTAGTTAATAGGATAATAGTGCATATAGAACAATGGAGTATGTTAAAAGTAAATTCGAAATTATACCTAAGGAAAATGTAGGTAAGGCCCAAATGCAAAAAAAAATACAGATTAAGTAGTGAAAAAAAATGTTGGACTTAAGTTGTAATTGGGGCGGATGGGCTTGAAGAAAAAGCCCAGAACGAAATTGGGATAAAGAAAAAAAAACTAGAGGTGAAGCTCAGGGGGGGTGTTAAAAGGTGCTTGATCAATGATGTGGCGATAAATCCCAAGAGCCACATCGACGCGGCCTTCATCGCAGTGAGTATTGATTAAGTTGTTGTAAGAAACAATATTAGGAACAAGGTTAGATTGGTTGAAGAAGAAGTGAAAAAGAGCAATAGCCTCAGTGTACCTCTTGGCGTGGTACATCGCTGCTATGATAGCGTTGCAAGTAAACACAGTAGGCCGAGTAGATGAGATTACCGAATGGCGAGCTACGGCGGAGGCGGCGTCTAGGTCACCTGCACGAATTAGGGATTGGACACGGTTGTGGAGGTTCAGTCGAGGTCCTACAAGCGCGAATGTTGAATCGGGAAGGCGAGGAGCGTTAGGGTCACGGAATTGGTGTTGGTGAGGTGGAGAGGAAAGGGGTGTGATGAAGGTTTAGATCTTGTTCTAATTCAAGCCATGATGGTGTTTGAATTTCTGGCTTTAGAAAACTGAAATTTTGATGCTCTTTCTTTAATGTGAAACCTTGTATTTCTTGAGTTTGGTTATTGATCATGTTGTGAGAGCTTGGTTGATGAATTACACTTCTTGAACTCTCTTCTGCTAATGCATCACAGAAGGCTCTGTGAGTTATGAAACTGTCCCTCCTTGTGAAGAGGGTTCCACAGTCACATCTATATTCTCTTGTACCACAGGTTTTGGAGTGAGCTTTCCAATCTGATTGAACAGCATACTTCTTAGAGCACTTATCACATTTCCACTTTTTCTCACCGTGCTTTCTGCAAAAGTGCTTTTTGATACCAGTTAAATCCCCTAAGGCTCTTGATGGTTCATGGTGCACGCAAGTTGGTTCTGGACATACATATACTTTCTTCCTTATCATCTCATTCCCCGTTCTTTACTTCAACTTCCATGGTAAATTGTGTCCTCTTTTATGAAGTTGAAGATTCTGATCTCTTTGAAATCCTTTGTTGCAGATCTTACATATGAATCTATTTGTCGCCATAAGTGTCTTCGGTGATAAAGCTATAACTTCAGCTTCCAGGTCTGGCTTGCCAGGAGGGTTTCTCCTTTTCTTCGCTGGAGTCTCGTCATGAGCTTGAGTTTGTGAAGGAGAAAAATATTGTTGAGGATAACTGGTAGTAGCACTAGCTTCACCAGATGCAGAAGTCAAATTAGACATGTTTTCCTCAACAATCAAAACCTTTGATCATGTTTTTATTCTCTTATGTTTCAAGTCTCTTGAGTTCTAATAACATGTTCATGTTTCATGGATCTGTTTATGCTTTTTCTGGGATCTATAAACAAGTCTTACCCAAAACAGAAAAGGAGAAAAAAAGTGAACTTTGACATAGACATAACTATTAGGTAGTGACAGAATGAACAGAATAAATTAAAGAAAGCAAAACTGATATGAAACTCATGAATAGTCTTTGAAATAATTGTTCCAGCAAATAAAACAAAGATGAAAAACACAAGAGAGAGAGAGAGAGAGAGAGAGATGGTATGCTGAAGGTTGACGGTAAAGGGTGAGCTAGTGGAGAGAGATAATTGAAGATTGGATTTTTGCAATTGGGTTAGGAAGAGAGATTACTGTGTTGATTTTTCTTCTTTTTTTTCCCCCCTGTACAAAGTGATAAAGATGCTACTTAAATAAGAAAATAAAGAGGAATATTGTTTTCAGGTTTAATCCAATCCGTCCAAAATTATTAAATCTGCATCTATCCGTTATTTTTGCTAACAGCCAATAAGAATCAAGCACAGTGTAAATAATATTTTTTGTGACCAAATAGCCCTTAAATGATAAAAATAACCAAAAAGACTACAAATATTAAAATTAACTCCATTTAAAATAATTTTTTGAATTGTTTCTGAATAAAAAATAAAGACCCAAAATGACTAAAAACAATAAAAAACGGAAGAAAATTTATCCGAAAAATTAATATGAACACATTAAAATAAACTACATGTCACAAAGATTAAATAATAAAAAATATTCAAAAAGTCGAAATCAAAATAAAATGATAATAAAAATATCGGGCTAAAACAGATGTTTACGGTTAAAAACGAGACTTCAAATTGTATCGAAAAAATAAAGTGAGCATACCGTCATAATCTACGCGAAACGCAGATTCATAAAATGATCGGTAAAAGGTGAAAACTTGAAATATTTTTCTCACTAATTTTCCGCACATTGTCGAATCGCTTTTAACAATCTGTCTATAAAACCGAAATATTTTTATTATCAACATATAAACAACTTGGAGCAATGCAAGAAACGAGTAAAGAGATAAAAATGCATGAAGTGAAATGTCAGGTATTTTTTAACTGAAAGACGATGCAAACTTTGATTTAAACTGACTTTTCTGGTCAACTTAAATACGACTAATGATGCAAAAATGTGATGAATGAAGATATTTACTAATGATTGTGACTAAATAACAAAATATGATATGAAAGTGCGACTAAAACATATTAGGGGCAAAATTTAGGGTGCAACAGTTTTGCCTCGATGAATCAGTCTTCAAGAATCCATAATCAACCGTACTTTTGGCTTGGGAGACTCAAAACCTTAATTGAGGCGCGACACCTGATGCTCTTGATTCAGACCTGTCTCTGCACATGAAACAAAAGAAAACATGAACATAAACCTTTGTATGCGATTAGAAATTAGTGATACATAGGCTAAAAATGTTCAAAACACTTGACAATCTTCACATAGTCAAAGCTCGAAGGTGAGACGTTAAAACCGACCGTATTTCGTGACCTTGACTTATCTTAAAAAAATGCAAAAAATAAAAATGGGATCTTAGGTCAAAAATTGGGGTACAACAGATGCCCCTATTTAAGTTTCTTCTGTCTGGAGATATGAAGATTGGGATCTTCATTTCAACGAGATTGAAGGGACTTAAATATAGAATACACAATTTTTGGCCTTAAGATACCGCGATTATGTTCATGATATGATATGAATGTAATGCTCTGAATTTTATGGGGAATGACGCCATATGAGACAGACTATGCTGGAGAAACCAAGCACATTATACAGTAATCCCACAGAGGAAGAGGTTGTAACTCCACTGGGGAAACAAAGTCATAGACTTCAAATGAGAAACTCTTGAATGATTTACATCAGTGTTGAGACTGGAAAAGAAAATGATTGACATCAGTACTTAGACTGGCAAATGATTGACATCAGCACTGTGGCTGGAGATAAACATCTCTGATTTCTGAATTTTACCAAGAACGGTAACATATTTCATCTTTAACTAAGATATCACTTGAAAAGGATAAAATAACAAACTTCCCCACGGGACTTTTCCGAAGGGATGCCAATTGCTGAGTAGACATTATTGTTGGGGATACACAAGCTGTTCCAATAAAGAGGCCGCCACTTTCTTCCTTTCAAAGGTGTCAATAACATACAAGCTGCTCATGAAGAGACCGCCACTTGCTATCTTCAAAGAATATTAAAGCACACAAGCTGCTCATGAAGAGTCCGCCACTTGTTGCCAAAAACCCGCAAGCTGCTCATAAAGAAGATGCCACTTGCTGTCTTCAAAGAATATTAAAGCACACAAGCTGCTCATGAAGAGTCCGCCACTTGTTGCCAAAAACCCACAAGCTGCTCATAAAGAAGCTGCCACTTGCTGTCTTCAAAGAATATCAAAGCACACAAGCTGCTCATGAAGAGTCCGCCACTTGTTGCCAAAAACCGACAAGCTGCTCATGAAGAAGCTGCCACTTGTTGTCTTCAAGGGAACAATAACACACAAGTTGCTCAAATAGATAAGCTGCCACTTGATGTCTTCCAAAAATACTAACGTACAAGCTGCTCATGAAGAAGCTGCCACTTGCCGTTTTCCATACAAGTTGCTCATGAAGAGACCGCCACTTGCCATTTTTCAAAGATAACGATAACACACAAGTTGCTCATGAAGAGACCGCCGCTTGCTGTTTTTTCAAAGGTAACAATAACATACAAGTTGCTCATGAAGAGACCGCCACTTGATGTTTTCAAAGGTGACAATAACATACAAGTTTCTCATGAAGAGACCGCCACTTGATGTTTTCAAAGGTGACAATAACATACAAGTTGCTCATGAAGAGACCGCCGCTTGCTGTTTCTCAAAGATATTAATAAACATACAAGTTGCTCATGAAGAGACCGCCGCTTGTTGTTTTCAAAGGTATCAATAACACACAAGTTGCTCATGAAGAAACTGCCGCTTGTTGTTTCTCAAAGATATTAATAGCATACAAGTTGCTTATGAAGAGACCGCCGCTTGTTATTTTCAAAGGTATCAATAACACACAAGTTGCTCAAGTAGATGAGCTGCCACTTGTTGTTTTCAAAGGTGACAATAACATACAAGTTGCTCATGAAGAGATCGCCGCTTGCTGTTTCTCAAAGATATTAATAACATACAAGTTTCTCATGAAGAGACCGCCGCTTGTTGTTTTCAAAGGTATCAATAACACACAAGTTGCTCATGAAGAGACTGCCGCTTGCTGTTTGCCATAAAATATCGTGAAGATATTGCTGGGGGTGAGAACCAATAATTTCATCGGGGATGGACAAACTGCTCATGAAGAGACCGCCATTTGTCGTAGAGATATCAGAAATAATCAAACTGCTCAAATAAAGAGTCAGTCGCTTGTTGTCATGTCGATATTCCAGAAGAAGGTTGTGATAACACTACTAGGGAATAAAGTTCATCTTCAATGGGAAACCATGAATAAATCCTTCTTGAGGAGACCAAGTATTTACGTTGCAAAATAAATGCACTCTCTATCTAGGTTTCACAGCCTAGAGAGATCCACAGGGTATCATTCGCAAGAGACAAAGCTCAATCCAGGAATAAACTGGAGAGAAAAACAGTCAAACAAGACTCCACCCAATGAGGAAACAACTCAAATGGGGATTTATCCTATCCAGAGATGGAAAAGGAAAGCTAAAGCAAGATTCTTCCACGAGAGTTAACTCCATGGGGAATTAGAATGAAGACGCACTTTCTGCTTAAGTTAGCACTCTACTTGGAAAGATCAAATACATTATTTGAATAGACACAACCAAGGTATACGAACTCAATGACATCAACCAATACAACTGTGCATGCATGATGCAAGTGTGAATGAATAAATGAATGCCATGTATGTGCTGACAAAACAAATAGACAAGATAAACTGGTGATGATAAGACATCATAGCACAACCCAACATTCGGCTAATCTCAACAGGATGGGAACATTACTGGAGATAAAACAAAGGCCATCATTGGAGCAAGGTCCTTTTACAAGGTTTAAATATCTCCGGAGAGGAAGATATTTTCAGGTAGAAAACCCAAAGTCCAGTCTTCTATTGCAAACAATCCATTGAAAGGATAACAACACAAACAAAGTTTCAGCTGGAAAGAAGTCTTGCTTAGCTGGAGATACTGGGAACACCACCCTCTGATAATGTATGAAAAACATATCTTGACAAATATGGATTGCCCCTGAGATTAATTTTGGATGCCCCAAGTTTACTGCTGATAAGCTGCGTGATGCACGACAATTCTTGTGAATAACTTTACCTCTAAAATGCCCCGAGCTATATGGTTAATGAGGAGAAATCATCTCAAGAGGATTTTACAAAAGACCTGGCATTCACCATGCTCTGGTGTCTTCAAACTCTTAGAGAGATTCAATAAATCTCGATGTGATTTCCCCGGATTGACTGTAGTTGGCACAACGAAGTCTTCAAATTTTTGCCCCAAACGAGCAAACAAGTTGGGAAAAGCATTAACTGGGAGAAGCAACATGTTCGTGCTTACGGTCTTCAGGTGACATGCCCATGGATATGATTTTTCCTTGACGTGATCCGCCAATTACTCAACATAGTTTCAGGCCTTAAGAATAGACTCATCACTGGTGCTTATATGTGAGTTTCCTTGATATCGAACAAATGTTTTGCAGTTAGAAAATGTTTACAATGAGAATGAAAATTCTAATGCAACAGTTATGTAAGTCTTGAAGATTTTGAAAGATATCGCACAAATTTTGCGAGTTAAAGCACAATTTATTTTTGTATAGGAAAAACATATGATACCAACATAACTATTTAGAACATTCGTGGGAGTCAGGAACACTATCTCATTGAAGTATGCTTTCAAAATAACCTTGCTTCAATTAGGACTTTTGA